CACTGTCTCTCTCACGCACTGTCTCTCTCACGCACTGTCTCTCTCACAGATGTTCTGTGAAGCAGTCACCCAGTCTATGCTTCATTTCCCCAGTGTTGTAGAGGAGACCGCATTGTGAGCAGTGAATGCAGTAGACTAGACACTTCACTTGCACTTCCCAGAATCTAGTCTACTACATTCGCTGCTCACAATGTGGTCTCCTCTACATTGGGGAAACGAAGCGTAGACTGGATGACCGCTTCACAGAACATCTACCTTCTGTCTGCAAATAAAAAAACCTTCAGCTACCTTTTGCCTGCCACTTTTAACACACACACCACTCTGTTCCCTGGCCAGCATCTGCCTCTGGCTTGCTGCAGTGTTCCAGTGAAGCTCAGCACAAGCTGAAAGAACAGCACCTCATTTTCTACTTGGGGACCCTGCAGCCTTTTGGACTCAATATCGAGTTCAATAATTTTAGGGCCTGAACTCTCCCATGTCCTAGCCCCCTACCTCACACACCAGGCCTTGTTATCACACAGCCTGCCATTGCACATTACCTGTTGTTAACCACTAACAGTCCCAATTAACAGCTGTTCACCCTCCGAGCCAGATCGTTATCAACTCCTTTGCCTATCCAACTGTTCTTCTCTCTCTTCGGGCTCTATCCTTACTTTTACTCTCTAACCCATTCCCCTTCCTATTTTCTGCATATAAACCGACGTTTTCCCAGCTACCATCTGTTCTGAGGATGGGTTACTGGACCAGCAACATTAACTCTGATTTTTTTCTTCACAGATGCTGCCAGACCTGCTGAGCTTTTCCAGCAACTTCTGTATTTGATCCTCCCTCTGTAGTTATTCTTTGAAATTCTCTTTCCTAGAGAGCTGTGGAGGCTGGGTTTTTGAATACATTCAAACACAAGTTAGATTTTTTCTTTGATTGATAAGGGAGCTAAGGGTGAGGCAGAACAGACAAGAAGGTAGGCTGATCAGATCAACCCTGATTTATTGAATGGCGGAGCAAGCTAGAAGGACTCTCAGCCCCCTCCTCCTATTCCGCATCTTCTGAAGACGACGCTTTGTTATCAGATTCTTAGAGTTGATTATTGGTTAAATTGGAATCTTGTCCACTGCAGTGAATTGAAAATATTTTATATCACTGAATAAATTTTTTTCAAAATCCCTTCATTCTCTTCAATAAATGTGATAAAGAGCGGACAGTAAGATTCCTGAGGTAGGTTTGCCACCAAGGAGGATGTGTGTGGTTTTTTCCATATGTTCTAGTTTCAGAAAAGGTTATTATTTTTGTTCTAAAAGTACAGTTGGCTGATTGCACAGTCACCTCACAGATTTCTCTTTTTAGTAACTCTCTCCCCTTAAATCTGTTCTTGAGCTGCCTTGGCTCTGGATTTTTAAAAAATTCTTTGAGGATTTTAAAGGCAGCTATTTCTAAGAAAAACATATTACCCCACCCTGATAGCTGTCCTTTCCACTTTGCCACATCCTCCCTGTTGCCTCCCCCTCTGTCACCAAACCACCTCTTGCTGCTGCCTTTCCCATCTGCAAAACAGTCCTGGAGTATTTCCAAACATTTAGCAGTTCACAGCTGCAAAGGAGGAGATGCTGAAAACCAATAGCATTACAGTGTCCTTGGCTGTCAAAGTTAAGGAACTCATAATCACCTGTTCACAATTAATTAAAAGCTATTCATGTCCCATGATCATATTCACTTCATTTCAGCCATACGTGAAGTATATTTGACTTCATAGTGATGCCTTCGAACGTTTTACCACCATGATTAATTTGCCTCTATTATCTCCCTCTGTCTTCACATGCAGTGAGAGAAAGTAAATGTGGCTGGTAACGAACCTGCAAAGCAACCAAGTCCTTCTAAAGTTGCTTCATTTAGACAAAAACGCCAATTCATTTTTAATGTTCTGTGGGATGGGAGTGTCACTTGCTAGGCCAGCATTCATTGCCCATCCCTAATTGCCCAGAGAACAGTTAAGAATCAACCCCATACTCACTCATGAGGATTCCGAGAGTTGGATTTTCACCTGGTGGCTACAAAAGAACGTGAGACAACAATGAGTCCGTGCTGGAGGACACAGCTTGGTGCATCCAGACCTAGATGTATCCTGGAGGTGACTGATGAAGAGAATCACTGTGCAACGGATAACATGAAGCCTTCAAAGTGGAGCTACCATGATTGCAGAGAGGTGACTGGAGTTGCTCTTGAACAATTCTATCACGGTTTACATCGCTGCCTGTTAAAATTATATCTTCCTGCATGAATAAAAGTGGTCAGCAGCATTGACCATCCTTGCAAGCCTTCGCTATGGCATTAAATTCTGGATCCCAACCAGTCACCTTAAATAAGTTGATAGGTGCCTTATCTTCAGCCTTATTGATCCACCACATCGATCTGCATCAGTGTATTCTCCAGCGCGATGGAAGAAATGAAGTTCAGCACGACAGTGAGATGTATGGGGACATGGAAGAGGGTTTTGGATGCCATTCAAAGTATTTGCACTTACCACCCACCCAGGCAGCATCCAGCATGTTGCGTTGTCTTCCAGTGGCTGACTTGCTTCTTCACATGTGTGGGGGAGCAGTCTTTGGCAGGATTCTCACTGGATCCAAAACCCAGAGGATGTCTGATGTTCACTGTCCTTCTATTATGGAATCAGTGTTATTTTCAATCCCAGCATTTTGTTTTTATTTCAGGTTCACGGCTTTTCTTCTTTTGTTTTGGTTGGATACAGGTTTCGATCTAACTGTGCATAAATTGTTGATTTAACTGAAAGGCTTTCTACAAATTTAACCCATGTGAAATGGCTACATTGTGCCCTTATTCACCGGGTAGGTATTTGTATTGAAAAAAGGACATCTCTCCTATATTCTAGCTTTATCTGAAAATGTATCCAAGCTGTGGTGGGTGACGTAGTCATGGTAATGAGTATTTTGTTATTAATAATGATCCAAAAGATTAACATCAGAGGTGAAAGCTCCATAAATGGAACTCGGTCAGATTGGGATGTATGGTTGGCCGTGGGCATGTTGGGCCAAAGCATCTGTTTCCGTGCTGTATGACTCTATCATTTTATGACTCTATGATTTTGTTGATGATGTCGGTGATGAAGATACTCCATTATCCTGGAATGGTACCTAGGAGGCACCGAGCTATTTTTATTGGTGAACACTGTTCTCAAAAATGTTACTCTCTGGGTGACTGGCACTCAAGTGGGAAGGCAGAAACATACCACAGGGTTTAGCAAGAAATGAGAAGGAGCAATGATGTGGTATACTGAGCTCCTCCTTTCTGTAAGTTCCCCTGACTGCTCCCCAGAACATGGAAAGTTGTTCCTTGTGCAAAATTTGCTGTTATTTTTGCAAATGCTGTATTATATGTTTTCTTTTGATATTAAATTCTACGCAGAAAAACAGGCCAAATTCAATTTGGTCAATTACCACCTCAACATTCTACTCTTGATTATCAGTAAAGTGATGGAAGGTGTCATCGACATTGCTATCAAGCAACACCTGCTCAGCAATAACCCTCTCAGTGACGCCCAGTTTGGATTCCGCCAGGGCCACTCAACTCCTGATCTCATTACAGCCTTGGCTCAAACATGGACAAAAGAGCTGAATTCCAGGGGTGAGGTGAGAGTGACAGTCCTTGACATCAAGGCTGCATTCGACCGAGTGTGGCATCAAGGAGCCATTGTAGAACTGGAGTCAATGAGAATCTGGGGGAAGTCTTTCACAGGTTGGAGTCATACCTGGCCCAACAGAAGACGGTTGTTGTTGTAAGGCATCAGTCATCTCAACTCCAGGAGTTTCTCAGGGGAGTGCCCTAGGCCCAACCATCTTCAGCTGCTTCTCATTGACTTTCTTTTTATCATAGTGTCAGAAATGGATTGTTCGCTGATGATTGTGCAATGTTCAGCACCATTTATGACTCCTCAGATACTAATGCAGCAAGACCTGGAAAATATCAGGACCTGGGCTGGCAAGTGGCAAGTAACGTTTGTGCAAAGCAATGACCAGCTCCAAAAAGA